CCCATAGAAGAACCTCATAGAAAACCTCCCTGTGTAACCAAACTCTAATACCACCCCATAGAAGAACCTCATAGAAAACCTCCCTGTGTAACCAAACCCTAATACCATCCCATAGAAGAACCTCATAGAAAACCTCCCTGTGTAACCAAACCCTAATACCATCCCATAGAAGAACCTCATAGAAAACCTCCCTGTGTAACCAAACTCTAATATCATCCCATAGAAACAGAGTACAGCCAGCCATTGTTCTTAAATAAGATGTTCTGTCAGGAACACAGATCAGCTAAACTAGCTTTCTTCTGGACAATGTCTGGCATATTTCCATGTCTGGCATATAAAAGAGTGTTCTGAGTCATTTAGCCCATTGTATGTACACTCGGGTATGTGCACCACGTGCCCTCTTTTATTGGCTAGTATTAGAAGCTCTTCTGTCAGGGGCTTCCCAGGATAGAAGGCCATTTCTGAATCCAGCTCCCCTAAACTTAAACCTCTAACCTGTCTCAGTGGCTTCCCAGGATATGAGGTTATTGCTGAATCCGACCCCCCCAACCTAAAACTTAAGTACTTTAGAAGCTGTTCTGTCAATGGCTTACCTGGGTATGAGGTCCATCTTGAATCCAGCCCCCCTAAACCCAAATGTTATCATGTATCTGGCAAGTTCTGAAAAGATCCTCAAGTTTTTTTGCATGTGTACAGTGTATCTGGTAATTACTCATTAATATGAAATTCTGGAGCTTGTCTGTCCAATCAGCAGGATTTTGTTTTAGAAGCCAGCTCCATTGACAGCTAGAGAAAACTTCCCAAACTCTGTGCTGGCTGTACGTATAAGGAGCAATGACTGCCTGGCTCCTGGGATTTGTCCAGCCCTGGGTTAGGCATACATGATATTTCAGATCTGTATATTGTTTTCTTGTATACAAGAAGAACTGTTGTCGCCTCTGGAAACTGTATTTACAGCAGCTGTTTCCAGGTTTGTAGAGATTTTGTATATTATTTGTGAATCACCTCGGGAGGTTCTGTTTTTTTTTTGGGATGTTCGAAAAGAGTGTGCTAGACTAAAACCTTTCAAAGTACTGAAGCTTTTGTGTTATTGTAGGTAACAATGTAGTCACAAAACAATGCTGTATCGTGTAGTCGCATCACAACCTATGCATGTTTGTTATGGAACACGCTTTCATTGTTGTGTATTTTGTGTCAAAGCTCAACCCGGGGGAAAGCAAAATAATACTCTTGTAGTGGAACATCTCCTGCAAGGGTTAATTGCTTATGTTTTTTTTTTACCTAGGGTACCAGTAAAAGGGACTTCACAGGCTACCTCTACACTGCACAACTGGCCCTCACAACCTCTTCTGTAGACGTTGCTTTAGTCACAGGCTACCTCTACGCTGCACAACTGGCCCTCGCAGCCTCTTCTGTAGACGTTGCTTTAGTCACAGGCTACCTCTACGCTGCACAACTGGCCCTCGCAGCCTCTTCTGTAGACGTTCCTTTAGTCACAGACTACCTCTACGCTGCACAACTGGCCCTCGCAGCCTCTTCTGTAGACGTTCCCTTAGTCACAGACTACCTCTACGCTGCACAACTGGCCCTCGCAGCCTCTTCTGTAGACGTTCCCTTAGTCACAGACTACCTCTACGCTGCACAACTGGCCCTCGCAGCCTCTTCTCTAAGGCGTTGCTTTAGTCACAGGCTACCTCTACGCTGCACAACTGGCCCTCGCAACATCTTCTCTAATGCGTTGTTTTTGTCACAGGCTACCTCTACGCTTCATAACTGGCCCTCGCAGCCTCTTCTCTAAATCATTTCTGAAACGTGCTCCCTGCCTCCGTTTCCCCCGTGCTCCCTGCCTCCGTTTCCCCCGTGCTCCCTGCCTCCCCCGTGCTCCCTGCCTGCTCCCTGCCTCCCCCCTGCTCCCTGCCTGCTCCCTGCCTCCCCCGTGCTCCCTGCCTCCCCCGTGCTCCCTGCCTCTGTTTCTCCTTGCTGCTTCTTCTATAAACTCAAAAGGGACAAAAACATAAATATAATTTACTTATTGATCCTATTTTTTTTTATTCTTTTAGGCCTTTTTGCTGAACGTCTGTGTCTTGGTTGCACTTCTCTACGGTTGGTGAATAACAGGTAGGAAACAAGTGTTACATTCTTATGTTGTGTAAGCGTTATTGGCCCCTTGTACACCATTTTGTTCAAAGGACTGAACCACTAAAGCAGAACTCTGGGAAAAAAATGCAATGGGGCTACCCCCCATTGTTCAGAATATATATAATATTTGTATGTGCTTAGTCTGGGTACAGGAGCACTTTAAAGCAGTGGTTCCCAACCTGTGTAACCTTAGGACCCACATTTGCCCTCGGTCATTAAGGCCCCATTCACATGTAGCGACATACCTTTGCAGCGGCCGGGATAGCGCGACTTTCGGGGTGACGATCCAACGACGGTAGCGCGACCTTCTCCGTCGGGCTCCATAGAAAAAAAGCAAAATCCGCAGAAAAAAGGGTTGGCTAGAAGCGACTTGCGATCGCGACGCGGAGCTAAGACAGCTCCATTGACTATCATTAGCCGGTGACTTCTCGCGATATCTCGCGGCAAAGTCGCTACATGTGAATGGGGCTTAAGTGTTGACCCAAGTCACACTGCACTGGAACGCACGGCATTGCAGTCCAAAGCATTCCAGTGCAGGGGATCTAACTGTGGGTGGGAGGTGCGTTAGGGGTACCATTCATATGGCACCTTAATGCATGGAAGATAGGGATTGCGTGGGACTGTGCGATTAATGCACTGTACTAGTGTGAATGGGCCCTTAAATCTCCCTAGCATAATAGAACTGGAGTGGATCCTCAGCCTGGGGTCCATTGTGGGCTCCATCCATATGTGCTTTGCTTGTACAGCTCCTTTGCGTGCCCTGTAGTGGTGGCGGGAGCCAGAATGTGACGTCACTCGGGTCCAGGCACCTTTACAAGGCATGCGAGGGAGCTGTAAGCAATAGAAGTATGGATGGAACTCCTTCGCGGCCATACACCCAGCCCACCCCACCTCAAGATGGCACTCGGCATTGGGCAGCATATTTTGTTTCAAACTTTTTATTAGATTTTTTTTTTGTAATATTCCCAACTACGGACCGATCCATCCTCCAACAGGTCGCATAAGTAAGTTAGGCCATGTGAGGTCCACGGGCAGCATATTTTGAATGGCTGCTCGGTGCAAGTACTAGTAGTGCTGTGCTAGGGGGAAGGCATGGAGTGACCCACTTTTGGGTCGCGACCCACCAGTTGGGAATCAAGGCTTTAAAGACATAGTGCAGAGATCGACATCCCCTAGATGGCAATCAAATGAAAGAGTACTTACTGCCGGTCACTTTACCTTGTACATTGCTCTTGGTTGTGGTTAGTGTCCTGGTTTGATAACCAGTTGATTTTATGTTTTATCTATTTTTTTTTTTTCCCCTCAATCATAAAGGAGTTCTCATATCCGAAGTTGCACTGCTGCCCACCCTGTTTACATTTCCATAAGAGACAGGAGTAAAGCACATTCATGGACTAACAGGCCTGAAAGAACATATTACAAAGTCCACAGTCCTTTGCCCGCATGGAGGGGCCTGGCCGGAAGTGGCTCTTTAGTCCCCCAGTACCTGTCTGTCAGGAGTCTTCACTCTTCAAAACCACTTTTCGATGACTCTGTGGTAGAGAAATCCTTGAAATCTTTGAAGGATAAAAACAAAAAGCTGGAAGAGGGTGGCCCAGTCTATAGTCCAACCACAGAAGTGGAGACTGTAAAGAAGTCTATAGGACAGAAGGTCATGGATGAGTTAAAGCACTACTATCATGGCTTCCGCCTTCTGTGGATCGACACCAAAATTGCCGCAAGAATGATTTGGCAGATTCTCAATGGTGCTATCTTGTCTCGAAGGGAAAGGAGGCAGGTAAGAGAAAATGAACGAGCTCCGTTATGGAAAGTGTATAAGTGCACAATTCTCATTAAGTAAAATACAACTTAGTAGAAGGGAAATGCTGGCCTGAGCCATAATAAAGGGAAACTACTCTGCAAAGTTTGGGGCCCCCAGGAGCGCCTCATATTTGCACATCATGGCACACTTAGTGACACTAAACTCGGGAGTTAAAGGAGAACTATGAGGTGAGTGCTTTTCACTCACAACAATGTTCTAGCCATGTCCTCCCGTTACCCTAAGGAGAACTATGGGGAAAAACACTGACCCCATAGTTCTCCTTTTAAATCTTAAAAGTGGATACAAGTACCTGAACTATTAACAAAAATGTATCTTATTTGTGTATCACTGGGCTGTAGATCCTCAAATCATCTCTGAATTGGTGCTGATACTGTCCTTCCTTCTCACTCCCTTGGTGGACTACAATCTCATATTTAGTTTACTCATTTGTATTGAGATTGTAGTCCACCAAGGGAGTGAGAAGGAAGGACAGTATCAGCACCAATTCAGAGATGATTTGAGGATCTACAGCCGAGTGATGTACAAGCGGCATTATTTTTAATAGTTAAGATAGTTAAATGTATTTTTAAGATTTAACTCCTGAGTTTAGTGTCACTTTAACTAGAAAAGTTGCACCATCGCTGGGGCTTCCATCCTCACCCAGTCATCTTGTGGGTTTGCTGTCTTTGGCCATTTTGGGGCTGGGAAGATGTAACTCCTGTGCATGTATTGAAGGGTTCCTTTGTACTGGTACCAAAACGCGATTCAGTTCTTTTTCAAACTGCTAGAAGTGGAAACCTTACTTTTTATGAGACATTACAGGATATCTGCTATTAGGTTTTTGCAAAGAAAGCCATTTATGTTCCCCTCTATGGTTTACTTTCACGTTGTTACAGGAGCCCGTCTGTTCCTGGCTTCTTCGCTAACCCCAGGCCAACATTTATCTGTTTTCAACTTTTTTCAGCTGTGTTTTGCTGTAACCTATTAAATATGCCTCATTATATCAAAAACGGTGTACATGAATGTTGAAACAAAACTTTGCATGAAAAGTGGCTTAGATAGGAAGGTGACGTCTTCCTGCTCCTATAGGTACCATACGAGGGAAGGGCATCACTATTGTGCCACTGCTTCATATAAATAAATATCTGTTGTTCAGGGCTCTTGGTCAAGCTAAAGCCAACTCCTTTCTTTGATCCGGAGTTGTGTTCTGAGCAGCTACAAGGGTACATATAATGAGGAGCAGAGAATAGAACACTAGCTGTGACCTGCTTGCTGGATGTAATTGGTTGTTGTAGAATGGAAAGTGTTACTAGTCTGAGCTGTAGAGTGATATGAGACAATGACTCATGCAGCCAAGGATTAGAAGTACATGATGTTACTGGAGCCATAGAATCCACTGTAATACGCCTTTGTTTTGCTGGTACTGCATGTTGCAGCATTGGTTCATGTTTTACTACCCATCAGACATGTCTGCACACAGTAGATGAGATGAAATACAATCTAATAGCTTTCTGCAGTATGCACTTCTGGCTGCCAGACTGTAAGGAGATGCCAGCCGTCTGCTCTCCGACTAATGATGTTTTTTTTAGAAGACCTTGAGTAATGAACATATCGCTGTGATGACTTAAAGCAACCCCGTCAGTCACTCCATCAGCCTGTTCAACATGTAAAACTACTGAGTGTCGGATGCCTGTACCCCTGCGTTGCATGTAACTTTACAATCCAACCACGGATATAAACAGATTCTTCCTCCTCAATCATTGAAGATGAACTTTACCCAGATCTTTGAAATAACAACAAAGACACCTTTAGAAATGTTTAGTAATGACAATCTACAAACACATACTTCTAGATCATTGCTGCCTTTGTATTCTTTGCATACCGCATTTCTCTTTTCCTCCCTATTCTTCTCACAGTGGCCACTTTTACTAAGGGCAGATGAATCCATCTCCCTTTACTTCCTGGAACTCTGGCACATGTGACTAGGACATGTGACCACGTACATCATCTCAGGGGAGGAAAATGCCTTTCCCTGAGATCTCGCAAGATTACAGATGAGATTTCCCAGCATTGCTCTGCTGATTGAACCTTCCCAGGATGCAATGCTTGGGGGCAGATTACATCACTAATGCCCAAGAGGAGCAGGAATTGGAAGAACAGTAAAAGCAACATAAAATGTTTAACTAGTGAATGTAAGATGATTTCATATCGGCATGCAGAACTGCATACTGAGGTGATTTTTAGTAAAAGGGGGGTAAAGGTCCACTTTTAAGCCCAGTCACTGAAAAGGAGGTACATATTGAAGGTGCAGGAAAATATCACTCGTAAATGTCTTAAGCTTGGTACAAAAAGTTACATTTTTTTCATTCACCTTTGCAGGCTGAACAAAAAAATATGACCGACTCCTCCATCCACCTTGCCAGCTGCGGCTGAATAAATCCTGTACGCTGTGTACATTGTATTCTGCTAGAATACCTGATCAGTGTTTGCAGCTGATTGGCTGGAAGCATTGTTGGGCCAATGATTTGTCAGTATGTCCCTTTGGCAAAAGTCAATCTAATGATCGTCTTATGTTAGGTTGATGGGCCACCAACGTATCTAATTTTGGCTGATTCCTGCTGAATTGGGCCTAAATTCACCCCGTGTATACCCAGCTTTACTTGTATTAGACTTGAGCTCCAGCACCAGGGATCAGTCTTCACCCTTGGGGCATTAGGATGAAGATAAGACCGCCACTCTCTGTGGAATCAGCACTCTCGCTGATGAATCTGAGCCTAAAGTGTATCACCTAAACGCCAAACGTCCTGCACTAAATAAAATGTCATATATTGCAGCTTACCAGTCCTTAGATGGGGTGACTGCACCTGGCAATCCTGCAAATAACACAATTCCTGTCCCTTTGTGTTTTAGGACGGCTGTGTACACTGTGGATTGATTTACCCTCTTGCTGTCTGTTGCAATGTTTGAATTTTTGGCTGGAAAAAAAAAAAGCTTCAAACTAGAGCTGGTAATGTTTAAAATTTTCGTGTTAGATTAATAAAAAAATGTAAAAATAGATTAATCGATTAATTTCGATTAATTATAACGCACATACAGATCCAACTACATTGGCCTATACTCATACAGCACAGCAATGAAGTAATAAAATGAACTAGGATCACACTAATCCAGCACGTTATTAATCTCACGTGCCCCACTCAATATGGCCGCCGCTTGAGTGGGGCAACTCAGAATAATAACGTGCTGGATTAGTGTGATCCTAGTTCATTTTATTACTTCATTGCTGTGCTGTATGTGTATAGGGCAATGCCTTGGCTGGCCCAAGTGGCTCAATCGGCTAACGAAGGGGGGAGGAGTCCGGTGATGTCGCATACATCAACGTCACCGGACTCCTCTCCCCTTCCCTCAGTTAGCCGTCACGGACATCGACGTCACCGGACTCCTCCCCACTTCCCTTTGTTAGCCGACGGAGCCACTTGGGGAAGGGGGGGAGGAGTCGGGTGACGTCATGGACATCGACGGTACTACCACCATTTTATTCTATAGGGTCTTGGCATTCAGAAAATATATAATGTTGGGGGGTTTTAAGTAATTTTCAGGCCTAAAATGTGGAATATAACATGGGTACAAAAAATGAAAAAAGGCCTCAGTCATGAAGGGGTTAATTTTCACAGCCCTACTTCAAACCCCCACACAATGATACATTTTCTGAAAGCAGAGGCCCTGTAGAATAAAAAATACTAGCTGCAATTTTTATGTCGCACAATCTTTGGCTGCAGCAGCAATGATCTTTGTATAAACTACTTCAGGACCAGGACCTTTATGACTGTCTGGCGGTCCTCAATAGGTTAAATAACTGCATGCATCAAGTCATGCCACAGTGAGGTTTAGGTCTGTAAACCTGCTCCTGCCATCGTGAAGTTGTCTCGCTCTCTCCGATGGGTCATCTTTATGCTTATTAGATGCTAGAGATAAATCCGGGGGCTGAGAATTCATTGGGTTGTACTATGAAGAACAGAACTGCCTATGTATGACCAGTACAAGAATGTGGCTCACTAGTGTCTAGTGATAAATGACATCCTTAATGCACACCTTGTCTTTCCAAGGAGAGGAGGACCTCTAGTCTGGAACTCTGTACTGAGAGAAATATGGGGGTTGCCATTGATTAACTCTATCTGATACCAGTTCCCTGGCTGTCTCTGGTCTCAGTGCTCTGTGTTACACGCTAGTAAGTCAAGGAAAGGACACAACTCCTGATCGGCATACCTATTTCCGGGCAGTATTGAAGCTTTCCCCTAGCAAATTTTTTTTTTGTACACTGTATGGTACACACACTTCAATCACAGCATCTCAAAGAATGAATGGGCCTGATGCTGTGGAGGATGTAACTGCTGTGCACAGGCAAGAGTTGCATTATCAGTGGCCACCCAATGGCCGAAGGGGATGCCAAGGAAGTGGCAGCGGCAGAGATGACAACAGATGGGAGGGCCAGGTGGGGGGCTAAAGATGCATTGCACTCCGCTGGAGAAGGACACATTTGTAAGGTAAGTGTACCATAAAGTGCGAGTATGCTGTACATTCTCATTATGGCAAAAACCAACCCAGCATATAGTGATTTATTACTAATACATGTGGTAGTAATATTGTAGTATTTGTAGAAAGCAGCATTGCCAATGGGTTCTTTAGGGCTGCAACAACTAATCGACATAATCGATTATAATCGATTATTGAAAAAGTTGTCAACTTTTTCAATAATCGATTAATCGGCTTCCGATCAGTTGGCCCTGTTCACAGCCGCCGATAGACAGGTCCGATCTCAGAAGCAAGTTGCTGGAAGACTGCTCAGGTAAGCCTTCACTTTCCCACACATGGTGCTCTATAATGTATTGCTGGGATTTGTATTCCTCTATAGCTGATGGTACATTGTGCTGTATATTATACATGGGAATACGTATCCCAGCAATACATTATACACTGTATGTACAATGTATTGCTGGGATTTGTTGTATTCCTCTATAGCCGGTGGTATTCTGCACTGTATAGAGGACTACAAATCAAGGAATAATACATTATACTGCGCAATGCAGAATACCACCAGCTATAGAGGACTACAAATCCCAGCAATAATACATTATACAGCGCAATTCAGGGTACCACCAGCTATAGAGGACTAAAAATCCCAGCAATAGTACATTATACAGCGCAATGCAGAATACCGCCAGCTATAATGTACTATTGCTGGGATTTGTTGTATTCCTCTATAGTTGGCGGTAATCTGCATTGCGCTGTATAATGTACTATTGCTGGGATTTGTAGTCCTCTATAGTCGGTGCCATTCTGCATTGATTGCTGTATAATTTTACACTTTTACACTTTCCTTTTCACTATATTGCACACCACACTATTTTTTTGTAATTTTTACTTCCACCGCTCCAAGCTTGCTCCTGTGATGGACAACAATCTCAATACAAACTAGTAGTCCCATCACTGGAGCCATTTTTTAAAATGTATTTTATTGTTTATCCGATTAACCGATCGAACTCAATCGGCTAACTAATCGATTTTGAAAATAATCGTTAGCTGCAGCTCTAGGGTTCTTGCTGATCTATTAGCCGTTTTATGGTTCCATCAACAGAATGTAATGTATTTTTCAGCTTTATGTTAAAAAAAGAAAAATCTCCAAACTAACTCCGGCATAAACTTCTGTATCTCTGTGATCACTATGCTGAAATCTTATATTCGTCGTCTAACATAATTAAGATATGTTGGTGTTTCCGTGTTTGGTGTGCCATTAGGAATCATTGGCAATGCAAGCGTGTTGCACGTTTTGCCACATTTCCATCAATGTGTGCCAAAACGCACATTTTTGGCGCACGTTCACGGAACGCACAGATGTGAATGCGAGATTAGGGTGCAGCCACACAGAACTAAAAAAAAAAAAATAATGAAGCAGCTATTGGGAAGGTTCAGTTCTAGTGGGAGAGGCGGTTTGAGGGAGGGGGGCTGGGGAATGTGACCACTGTAAATAAAGGTGTAACATGAAACATGGTCTGAGAGGTGGGGTATGCTTTTAATAAAGCACTTCTAATTTTTGTGGGACAATATACGGTAAATGAAAGATGGGTGCAGCAGAAAGGTATGTGAGTGCAGCAGAAAGGTATGTGGAGGGGGTCATTTAAATCGAAGCAGTTGCTTTGCCCTTCTACATATTAGACACCCACAAGCTTGCTTTAAGCACAACATAACATATTATTGAGGAATAATGCCAAGTAAAGTAAAGCTGAGAGCCATTTTCTTATTGTCATGTACTTGTACCTCTATATAATGTGGCCCATCTGTTGCAGTTCCTGAGGATATGCGCTGACCTCTTCCGACTGGTCCCCTTCCTTGTATTCGTCATTGTCCCCTTCATGGAGTTTCTTCTGCCAGTTGCAGTGAAGTTGTTTCCAAATATGCTGCCTTCCACATTTGAGACCATTTCTAAGAAGGTGAGATACCACCTGTATATTGATTCATTTAACATGTACTTTGTGCTCATTCAGTAAGAAATCTATCGCTGGAATCTCTCTGTTGTAAATATCGCCATATGCATACAGCTGTCTATAGAGACTCTTAGAGACTCTTCTGATCTTGCAGCATGTATCCTCAATACTTTCTGTAGCTGAATATGGAAAACATCAGCGGAAGGCATTCATTTAACTGAAACTTCCTTTTATCTGGCTCTTCTGCCTGATTAATTTTATTTGGAATTGTATTTTCTGTATTGCTGGAGTAGTTAATGATGGTGGGACTCCAGCAAAAACATTGCTCCCTAATTTTGGGTAGAATGGTAAATGGTTAACGCTCTGTTGGGTAGATTCAGCCTCGCCATTTTGTCTTTGTGACTGTTGTCACCGAAAAAGATAAGTGAGAAGGAATCCAAAATGTTATGATTGTTTCCAGAACTGGAGGTGAGGGGAAATCTTACTGGTGACAACTGTCGGCGAAGACTTCTGCTCACTTTCAGACTCTTCTTATTTCCTCTTGTGTGTCTGGGATACTCAGATGGAAATACAAACTAGACAGGTTGTAATTAGGGATGCACTGAAATTTATTTTTAAACCAAAAAAAAAATGTTTTTTCCTTCCCGCTTTTTTTTTTTTTTTTAATTTCATTTTTCTCTTTTTTTTTTTTTAAACTTTACTATCGGGTGCTCTGGTGAAACATCAAAGATCTAAACTGATCCCTGATATTTTCCCTTTTAAAATAGAAAAAGAGATTGAGGACAGAGTCCTAAAATCTTTTTTGCAGCCCCTGTTATGAATGAACAGGAAGCCTCTATACTGAGTGCTCCTGTCTATTCATAAACTGTGGATAAAGTATGAGTTAATATGCCCACAATCATGAATGAACAGGAAGTGATTTACAGCACTTCCTATTTCTTCTTCAAAACTGGGGACAAAGTAAGCATACTATATCCTGACCGCTTGTACGCCGCTCTCCATCCTGACTCCTTCACCTATCACAGGAATCTGAGCGGGGCATTGTGGGAGGAGAGCTCTGCCTCCTGTTACAGCTGACTCCATCCCGCACCACCCCACTCGACATCCTGGAAGCTTCTCTGCTCCCCTCTGGGCGCTGGTCTTTGTCCACTCCGATCCTCGCTGCCTCTGCCAACACAGGCGGGGTAGAGCAGCAGGCATCATAGGGGGCACAGACCGGCGCCCAGCGGGGGAGGTGTGAAGTTGGGGATGTACTGAATATTCGGCCGTTATGGTACTTTCGGCACTTTTGCCCAAAGTACCATTTTTGCCCGAAAAGTCGTTGCATCCCCTAGTTTTATTACTTCCCTACTTTATCCAAAGCCAAACAGTTTTGACTTGACTATCATGTCAAAGATGTCATTGTACTTTAAAATTGTCAGGACTGCAGGGTTTTCCACCCTCTTATGTATGCAATAAAGGATTATAGAACTAGAACAGGATAGTTCCACAAATGTCACCCCTCCCATCCTGTACTTGGACAATCAACATCTCTCGACACATTCCATAGTGATTGGACTAAGGTGTCTCTGCTACCTGTGAGGATATACATGCTGCGGTATGCTCCTATCACTAATTTAAACTGAAGAAATGGCTTGGAGAAGCTACGAAACATCTTCAACATTAGAGAACAAGTCCAGTTGAATACGACTTAACTACTACTAGGTGTATGGAAGGTTTTTTTTTTTATAACTAACCTTTCTGGACTCATTGAAAGTCTTTTTAGCTATGCCTAGTACCTCTGCTGCCCTGACCTGGATCTGAGGGGGCCCTGAAAATCATATACAAATATTTACTTTTTGAAAGTCAATAAAAGCATTGGGCTAAGAATACATCTTGGCACACTAAGCAAACACTCCACTTTAGGCCTTATTAATAGTCCTTTCATTACCTTTTTTTTTTTTTTTTTAATAAGAAACCATTATGGCTCTTGCTCTGATGGAGGGGAAAAGATTACTTTTGAGAGATACTTCTTTGTATTTTTTCGTGTCCTCATCTGTTACTGTAATGATGGAAATTTTATCCAGAACAACAAGTGCCTTCCTTTCCTGTTTGTGATTTAATGAAGGCCTCATTGATTGATTGAAAGGCATTTTGTACTGATATTGATGTTTTTGACGCTCAGGACGAAAGATTGAAGAAAGAGCTGAGAGTGAAGTTGGAAGTGGCCAAGTTCTTGCAGGATACCATTGAGGAGATGGCACTGAGGAACAAAGCTGCCAAAGGCGACGTGGCCATAGAGTTTTCCTCCTTTTTCCAGAAGGTAATAATAATTCATAGGGAAGAGAAAATGGAAATAATTCAAAGTCCTTTACTGCAGTTTTAAAAGGAAAATGTTTTCAAGTGTTGAGCAGACAAGCCATTGCAGTTTTGTTGAAGAGCCCATGATATATATGTGACTCTGATCTGATTATAGATGCATGCTGTGCAAAACTAAATATCAGGGGGTAACACCACCTTTTGTTAAACTGACACTAAACTCAGGAGTTCAATCTTAAAAATACATTCAAGCACCTTCACTATTAACAAAAATGTATCTTATTTGTGTATCACTCAGTTGTAGATCCTCCAATCATCTCTGAATTGGTGCTGACACTGTCCTTCCTTCTGGAGGGTCGCTACTTTTGTTCCCCATGGTCCCTGTGTGTGTTGTAAAGTAGTCACAGCTCCAAGCTCACTCCCGTGATGGACTACAATCTCACGTTTAGTTTACTCATTTGTATTGAGATTGTAGTCCATCACAGGAGTGAGCTTGGAGCAGTGACTACTTTACAGCACACACAGGGACCATGGGGAACAAAAGTAGCCGCCCTCCAGAAGAAAGGACAGTGTCAGCACCAATTCAGACATGATTTGAGGATCTACAGCCGAGTGATACACAAATAAGATACAGTATTGTTAATAGTTAAGGTACCTGAATTCATTTTTATGATTTAACTTCTGAATTTAGTGTCACTTTAATCATTACTGCGATGTTTACAGTGGTCAGGCAAAGCAATCAGTAAATGCTCCACCACCCAGACCTGCTTGGGAGACGGGCGTCCTGCTCTGCTGTGAAGTGGAACCCGGCTTCCCCTGTGCATAGAATTAATGCAATAGAAAAGTCACCTGAAGCGAAACTCCTTTCTATGATCTCTTATGGACCCACGTGTATTTTTCATAGTTGGAGACAATTGAGTATAAAGCAGGGCATTCTTATTAGACCCACATGATGTGCAGTATGTCGTGAACCCTCCCCCCTTAAAAGTTTTTGCAAAAAGATTTTCTACAAGTAATTAAAAAAATGATCTAAAAAATACATTTATAAAGGTAGCTAAATAAAAAGATTGTTTCACTGTAACATATCAAAATCATATCTTATCTGGGTCTCCTATAGCTGAGAGGGTGGAATGCTTGTAAAACAATGCAGAAAGTCCCAGGTGGACTCTTCATAGGCATCTATAGAAACATTGGTGATCTCCATGAATCTTTTTGCAGATTTAGGGGTTTGGACACCTTATCTTCTTGTAGCTGGTTATCTTTATGAAAGGCAACAGTCCATTTTGAGTGGAGCTGTAGTTTAGTTGCACATTCATTTTAAGGTTCGTTCCTCCTTGCCGTCTTAAAAAGACAAAATGTAGTGTTCATAGAGACTTCTCTGTAATGTCCTTACCCTGACACACCTGGATGCATTGATGGCCTTTTTGTTTTCCTGCAGATCCGTAGCACTGGAGAAAGGCCAAGCAATGAAGAGATCCTGCGATTCTCCAAGCTTTTCGAGGATGAACTGACTCTGGATAACCTGACTAGGCCACAGCTCGTAGCTCTGTGTAAACTCCTAGAACTCCAGTCTATTGGGACAAATAACTTCCTGCGATTCCAGCTCACCATGAAGCTGAGATCCATTAAAGCCGATGACAAGGTAAGTCATTGGTCTCAAAGGATAAAACACTGCATGGTTCTGACTGACTGTAATTCAACATCTGCACACTTGTGGAATGAAACCTGAGCTGACCCATTTGTGTATTTCCTCTGTGAACAACAGCTGATTGCGGAGGAAGGAGTGGACACGCTGAATGTAAAAGAGCTACAGGCGGCATGTCGTGCCAGAGGAATGAGAGCGCTCGGCGTCACAGAAGAACGGTTAAGAGACCAGCTGAAGCAGGTCTGAGATGTTTTTTTTTCTCTTTTGCCTTTGTAACGATCTGGCCACGCCAAAGAATTTAAAGTAATCATTATGGTAGCAGAAAAATTCCTTGTCTTTTAGAGGCAATTGGTCTCCGAGTCTGTATTGGAGTCCTCTGCACACTGTACGCTCAGGGCAGTGATGTCACTCAAGTGAGGCTACATGTGTTTAGTTTGGTGACATTCCTCCTTTATTTCCCACCCTGATGACCCCTGTCATTGGGATTTGCTCTCATTTCCTGTCAGGTCTGCGGAACACGAAATTATGGGAAATTGGGGACACCTTTAACAATAAAAAACTAAATAAATAACAGGGGCTCTAACCTTTATACCCTTTTCCTATTGGTTTACCTGTATTGTAGCGTGGCCACAGACGGGCAGATATCTACCTGAGAATAACAAACATGGGGATCTCTGCCCTTGAGTAAGCGGATGGTGCGCCTTATGGTGACAGTGGGACTATTGTTAATCCTTCCTTCTTCTCTACAGAAGAGTGGAGCTTCTGTCCTGCTAGCAGGGAGATTTTCCAGGAGGATGGCTTGTGGTAATGAGCTCCAGCAAACACTGAATATCACCCAGTAAAATGTAAAATCTCTTGGTGGTAATGAGCTCCAGCAAACACTGAATATCACCCAGTAGAATGTAAAATCTCTTGGTGGTAATGAGCTCCAGCAAACACTGAATATCACCCAGTAGAATGTAAAATCTACGTGTGGTAATGAGCTCCAGCAAACACTGAATATCACCCAGTAGAATGTAAAATCTATGTGTGGTAATGAGCTCCAGCATACGCTAAACATCCTTTGCAATCCTTGACACCGGTAGAATCCTTTGGCTATTGTCAGACTCTTTCTGTGCTTGATGAGACTTTCTCTGTTCTTGGGTGATGACTTATTGTTTCCTTTTGTTGTTACAGTGGTTGGATCTGCATTTGAATCAGGAAATCCCCACATCATTACTGCTATTGTCCCGAGCTTTGTATCTCCCGGACACACTCTCACCAGCTGATCAACTCAAAACAACTCTGCAGACTTTACCCGAAAGCATGGTATGTACATCATCAGCCTTTCATGTCAGCAGTGTGCATGTAGATTCATGGAGTGCCGCTGTCAGTTCAGTCACATGACAAGGAAAGTTCTTACATGAGCCTAATTGACAGCACTTTGGTGAGATGTTTATGATTGCATTTTGTAAACATGAAGTTAATCAGAATTTCTATTATATTCATATTGTAGCTGTAATAAATGTTACTTGACTGTCGGATTCTTACTGAAAGAAAAAGATGAAATGTGTTTTTTAATCCTGCTTACTACAATGAAACATGAAGGCAATGTCAGGAAATGTCATGAAATGAGCAGCATCATCATTTAGCACCTCATGTCACAGGACTTTATATGTAAAAGGATTTCTTGTCAACTGGGAACTCTGAGTCTTCACACTTGAAGCGCCGTTATTACCAAACTTCTCGATGTTCCTGTTATTCCAATAAATTCTCTGAATGGCAGAGGTGTTGCTGTTTTTGGAGCCTTTATGTAATGTCTCATCTGTCCTACTTAGACAGGTCACCAAACGGATTATGTCAGGATCAAAATAGAGTTCCTGTTCTTGCTGCTTTTGTATGATCATTTTTGACCCTTTTCCCTTGACATCTTTTATCCATATGCTTCATTTATTCATTTCTGAGCCAGTGACTTAGAACAAGTATTCAGGTCAGGACTTCTGACTTCAATGTCTGCCTACTTATTTCAGTTTAATGACTTAGGCCCATTTCACACTGTCCATACACGGATCCCCTTCCCTATCGGAGCAGTAGAAAGCGGATGTCATCCTTGTGACATTTGTGTCCATCCAGTTTTTTTCCTCCATCTTGCTATGGAGGAGGAAACTAAAATGACGCCATGTCAGTCTATGTAGAAAAAGATGTAAATGTACTTGTGTCCTTTTACATCAGATTACCCCCGATCCATCACGATCAGGTCCGGCAAAATGGAACACTGCTCCATTTGTTTTTCTGGACCTAGCCGGGGGCCGCTGGGTGTAAATAGACACCTTTCTGCTTAGATCCGTCTGCCTGTAGACTTACATTGGGCATCTGATCAGGTGTGCCGAAAAAAACAGACCTGATAGGACGACCCATCTAAAAGGGACATTAATAGTACTGAAGCAGATATGAGGATGGCAGTGCTGAAACTTTTCATTTTGAAAACAAGTATGCAATGGCATCGCCTATGATATTGTCAAGAGAGGGTCCCATTAAACAGACATACTCAGTACAAAGCTGCATGTGGCCTTTCCGTCTGCTAGCATCGGTGGGGGCATTGGGCCGCAAAGTCTAGTTTTTGATGAAGGCAGATGTCCAGATTTGTATTAAACATACCCACCCAGATTCAGGGAAGCATGAACCCTGAAAAACCCTTCATATAAGCTACCTCACTTTAGTTGGGTCAGAGGAATGGCATAATACAAGCATTACTTATTTCAGGGGGAACAACAGTCACCAAACAGTTTTTTATAGCCTGTCTGATTGATGCCCTCTGTGAAAAGAAGTAATCTGTACCGCAGCAAAAGAGCAATTAAAAGATTCCCAAACCTGCACAAGAGCAATACAAAGATAGTCTATCCAGCAGTGAGAAAGTAAGAAACTTTTAAAATGTAGAGTGGTCTTATTGTAATATATGGGAGCACCCAACCTGTTACTATACAGTGCTGCATACACTAAAGTCAGCCTATATCTGTATCACCCCATTGATGTGAGATTGTTGCTAGACTGTCATCTCATTTCCAGTTATATAGAACACGTATAATAAAAAGAAATCAATGTTTATTCCACTGTGATGCTTTGGCACAAAAAATGTTTACAATTGTGCTGGGGTAACCTAAACAGTTTCCCAAATTGTGCAGTGAACGGGCTGCTTTTCCGTGTTGGTGCCTTCGACTTGATCATAATCATGTACAGCGTATGGATTGACTGGTGTGTATGGCGGGTTCCATAATGTCTTCTGTCTCTCAGGCTAAAGAGGCCCAGGTGAAGGTGGCAGAAGTAGAAGGAGAAAAGGTGAATAACAAGACCAAGCTGGAAGCCACTCTGCAGGAAGAGGAGGCGATTAGGAAGGAGAAGGAGATGGACAGGTTGGCTGAGGTCGCCAAGGAAAGCTTACAAGCCGCAGTCAAGGTAAAAGCTTTCTTACTTATTGGATTGTGGAAATCTGTGTTCATGAGCAACAAAGACACTGAAACTAGTAGATGGATCATGTAGAACCTCAGTATATATTTACTGCTCACTAGATGCCTATACAGGTTCATCTATCTGTAGGTTTTCAAGCTCATCCTGGGATGGACTACAATCACAATACAAATTAGTAGGGATGCACCTGAATTACATTTTTAAACCGAAATAAAAAAATTTGTCAAGCCGATTTTGTTTTTGTTTTTTTTAACCCTTCTGTTGGCTTTGGGGGAATATCTAAACAGACCCCTAATATTTCCTCTGTAAAAGAGATTGAGAACAGAGTTTTAAATATTTTTGCTTTTTTTCTGCAGCCAGTTGTGAATGAACTGGAAGCCTCTATACTGGAGATAATATCAGTTACTATGTACACAATCATGAATGCACAGGAAGTGATGTAGATCACTTCCTGTTTCTTCATAACTGGGGACACAGTAAGCATACTATGTCCTGAGTTATTTACAAACACTCAGCGATCACTGAGTGCTTGTACTCTGCTCTCCATCCCATCCTGACTTGCTTGCCACAGGTGGGGCAGAGCAGTAGGAGAGATTGGTCTCCACTTTACTGGATCGTAGAAGCAATCGCCAGAATCGCTTCTACTGTAAAGCCAGCCGCCAGCTCTACAAATCTGAACAGAGTCGGGAGTCTGTTTAACCCCTTGAGGATTCATAATGGGATTATTCTCCATAGGTCATGAAGGGGTTAATAGGTAAGGTACTTGAAATGCATTTTCAAGATTTAACTCCTGAGTTTAGTGTCACTTTAAGTACAATAACATCTTCAGGCCAAAGGGACAAATCACTGTTTTTCTTAAGTTTGATAATGTGTTAATAGCAAAAGAATGCTCACGCACAGTTTGTGGTATATCCACTTTGATTGTTTGAGCTCTGTAGAGGTGACCAAAATTCTGTTCTTCACCAGCTTCATTTAGGTATCTGATAGATTTCATCTGATCTATTATGCAAAACAGCAGGATAGGCTGAAAAGACTGCATTTCATAGGAACACAAGGGTAGAATTGACGGCATGGATTTTGTGCTATCACTTTGGTCCATGGCATAACATTTTAGCTCTGTGAACTGTTTACCTCTGCACTAGTGTGACCGAGTCTTTCCTGGTTTAAATTGGCATGAACATAATATTTGATCACGTTGCCTAGTTCATTGATAAGCCCAGTGAGGTAGTTGTAATGATGATGGATATATTTGTTTTAGGCAGAGGCGCAGGCAGCTCCTGAACTGGAACCTGCGAAGATGACTTCAGCACCTGAAGAAGTGCAACCTACAAGTGCAGCTGACCGACCCGAAGTATTGATCGATGCTGCTCCTGTGTTGTTCGATGCTGCTCCTGTGTTGGAGGGCATTAAGGTACACAGGATTTCTGTGACTCTGCATATCGTGGAACCATTCTTGATGGCCTTTTATTTTGTTTTCCTCCATGAGTAGCTTTTACATTTCTCCGTATTTCTCTCAGTAGTAGATTCTTTTTATAGCAAATCTGTACATTTCTTCATATCAAAGCCCCTCTAGTGCTGATATTGTTTCCATTTGCCCACTAGGGCCCGCTTTAATACGCAGGTACTAAGAGCATGTGACTCATTTCTCTTCCCTCCACCAAGCAGTGCCGAGTGTAGTCACATTCTTGTGATGGGCCATTATCCCTGTGAATGCCCTGACCCAGAGCCTGCCAGGACTTTGAGTTACTTTTCCCGTGCTACGCTGCTGTAGCTGTGTCAGCAGTGGTGGGGTGGTGCTATCAATCCTCCCTTTTACTTGATTACGATTCCAAATACGGACAGAATGTCGGAGATCATTTCTGCTGATTTAATGAAAGATTAATGATAGAGTGGGCAAAGATTCGAACTTTCAGGTTTTTACTGCTATCCATGGCTCCAATAAAGAGAATAGCCTCACTTCCTGTCCCGATATCACCAGAGTGCAACTGAGGATCACTGCCCAACAGCAACACTGATTTTTCTTTAGTGCAGTTAGGGAAGGATAAAGGCCATCTGGGATTTAGATTGCTATCTATATCCTTGATTGCAGATTTTCCCTCAATTCCTGTGTGGTCAGCAGATCAGTAAGTGAGGGGAAATCTCCCAGATAGCAGTATACCAATCTGACGTTTAAATTGTTCCCATTTTATTCATAAGTAGAAAAAAAAAGTTTTGGGCTTGACATTCACACCAGACAATCACGTGTTAATTCTATAGGATTTCTCTGTTTATAATTTAAAGCCAGAACACACAATGAGAGGAATTTATCAAAACTGGAGGAGGCATTGATTTGCAACAAATTTGGTTTAGTGGGTTTTGTCAAACATCCAGCAGTGTACAGGGGAATTCCCTATATATTTTCAGCCCCTATCACATATGGCTTTCAAAAGCTGTTTGCAAACCCCAACTGTTAAGAACAAAAAAGGGAACCCCCCACCCCCCCCAAAAAAACAAAAAACCTCAGCCTCTGATGCTTCCAGGAGGCAGGAATAATGCCCCTGCACCTCTGGGCAGAGATGCACTCTTGCAATGGTCTGTAGAGCATTCTCACAGGATTTTGAGCTCCCATCTCTGCTAGTAGGCACCACCACATCATCCTTGCCTCCCAGCAGTAAGGGCAGCCAAGGCCACCTTTTGTTAGGTAAATGGTTTGTTTACAAATGACTTATTGAAAGCCATTTGTGTTGGGGTCGGGAGCTGGCAAAAGAGCTGACTTTCCATTTGCCATGGAAGGTCTGCTTTAAAACACAATTTCACCTTTTGATCAAGTATTTTTTAGTTCCCCCCACCTGGTTAAAATACTTACCTTCCACCCCATTTCAGCATTCTTCACTGTGCAGCCTTGCCCGGTGCTAGATGGCCTTTGCAAAGAAAACGTCCTGGTCGGCCCCTCTTTCTACTGCACAAGCATACCACAGCTTCAGTCATTTCTATTCGTGAGCCATGCTCCTGTGGACAGCTGGAGGCTGCCATGAGTATGATTCACCTATAGAAATGAATGGGGCTGCGACATGTGTAAGTATTTTACCGATGAGCTTCCACTGCGGGGGATGGGATCAGCGGGTCCATAGCCCGCCGATCGCCTATATGTGCTCGTTCGCGGCAACCCGCTGCCCGCGCCCGGTCGGTGCTTCCGGTTTTTTTTTCCCCCTGACTCCTCACCTTGATTCACCCCCACGTTTACGCGCCTATAAACGTAAATACGCGTCCGGTGCCCCAGCGCGCAAAAATTACAATTGCGCTACACATGTTACATATCGCCGCGAACGTCGCAGTGAGAGCAATCATTTTAGGGC